TCGTGTCCACAGTCGGAACGTTTCACTCGCGTTCACAGTCTGAACGTTTCACTCGCCTCCACAGTCAGAACGTTTCACTCGTGTCCACAGTCGGAACGTTTCACTCGCGTTCACAGTCTGAACGTTTCACTCGCGTTCACAGTCGGAACGTTTCACTCGCGTTCACAGTCGGAACGTTTCACTCGCGTTCACAGTCTGAACGTTTCACTCGCGTTCACAGTCTGAACGTTTCACTCGCGTTCACAGTCGGAACGTTTCACTCGCGTTCACAGTCTGAACGTTTCACTTGTGTTCAAAATCAGAATGTTTCACTTGTGTTCAGATCACAGCTTATCGCAGCATATCGCATCTTATCGCAGCTTTTGCAGCAGATCGCAGCATATCAAAGCTTATTGCCACTTATCGCAGCTAATTGGAGCAGAACGCAGCCTATGGCTTTCACCTCTTTATTAAAATAACAAATTTCCCAGATTTGCCTCTGAATCACCAGTAGCCCCAGAAACCGTCCCATAGCCTTTGTTGCTGCGTCGTTCTTTTCTCTAAACGTTATATTTTATATTCAATAAATGTGTTGTTTCTTTCGTAATTGTTTGTTTTATACTCGTTCACAGGATTTGCTCCAAACGCAGTCAGAAGGACAAGGAAGAAATGCGAGATTGTAGGTGCTTTAAATGAGGCTGTTAGCCCAGCTAGCGGTTAGCGGCCCATCTGCTCCGACTTTCCGCTCCGTGTTTTCTTTACACCAGGGGTAACCAAAGAGAAACCAGTGGGGTCCGAATAAAGAAAATCATCAAACAGTAAAGGTTTGGAGACAATTTTAATAAAAATCTGTTACTTTAAACAGAATTTAACACGGAAAAAAAGCAGGTTTTAACGCATCCATGTTATACATTTTATTTTTAAGCGGAGGATGCGGGATTTTGGGCTAAGACACTGTTGTCGGACAAAATGCAGTAATTTATAAATGTTTTAAATCAGGCTGGGTCTGGATTAGCCAGCAGGTGGGTCCGGATCCGGACGGCAGTCCGCTAATCCGTCACCTCTGCCTTACACCAACAACAGCCTGAGACTGTTTTCTCCTTTTTAAGGTCAAAATGACGGAAATATCTAAGATGGGCTATGAAAACCGATCCAACTCATATTAATGCAGGAGGTGATGTTTGGTCTGCAGACCAACAGCACACCTCCTTTAGACAGTCGCTAAGCTAACGGCTAGCAGCAGCAGGTCTGCTGTGCTGCACTGACCTGAGTCCCAGTGGGCCAGTGCTGATTGGACCAACAGGTTCAGGCTGAAGTCCTCCAGGATGGTTCTGAACTCCTCTGGAAACAGACCTGAAACAGACCAAAGTAAACCATGACTGATCACATCCTGCAGCCTTCCTGTTCCAACATGGCAGAAGATAAACCAACAGTCCTTCGCCTTGAGTGTTAGTGTCGCCTTGAGTGTTAGTGTC